CTCTCTCTCTCTCTCTCTCTCTCTCTCTCTCCCTGTTTATTCCCTGTCACACTGTGAGTCCCATGAGGGACCAGGGCCATGTTACTCACTGCTATTTTTCCAGCACCTAGCATAGTAGCATAACAGATGCAAGTCACATGCACACAGAAGTTAAAAAGTAGCAGAAACTGTAAGCAGAAGTTAGCCACCAGCCAGATAATGAGCAGAAACACACAGGAAAGTAGAAACTATGACCCAGGGGAGAGAGAGAGACAGAGCTGTAGCTCTAATCCTAAAAGTATTTTTATAGCAAACTTCTTTACCCTCTTTCTTAACTAGGGCGAGTTTTTTTGTTTGTTTTTGAAACGAATGCTACCTAAATAGCAGATGAATTAAATATCTTGATCAGTCAGAGTGAACAATCCAAATACTTCAGTAAAATAAACACTAATAGTTTCTAAATTTCAGAGTGATGGATAAACGGAAGAATTACTAAAGCCTGGAGATAAGACAGGCAGGAGAGGATGTTTGCTTTAGTCAGTACCCACGTCCTTTTACCACCTAGCTGCCTCCCTTCTTTGTTCAGCTGCATGGCTCTGCCTCACAGGAAGGGCTCCTGCCTGACCCTTTGCCCAGTAAAAAAATGAATGATCAAGATTATATTATGAAGATGCTTTTAAAGTTATGTAGAATTTACAGAAACACTTTCTCTCTGGGTGTCCTCTCTTCCAGGAAGTTTAGGTTAAACAGAAATGATCCCCACCCAGGGAAGTGTGTAGGCTGGTAATTCAGGCCTGCTCAAATGTAGGTAGTCTGTTTGCTCTTTTGCATTCTGGCACATTTCATTGCTCAAGACTTCATTTTATATGAGAGTTATGAAATCTGAGATTCAAGTTGTACCGTTTACACGGGCCAGTCTAACTCACTAGATCATTCATTGGAGATAGGAGACAAAATCCCCAATAGATAGTTCCTGTGCTTTTTGTCCTTATACACACACACACACACACACACACACACACACACACACACACACGTTATTTTGGGGATATATATATATACATATGAATTCCCTTGGCAGTGACAGATTTAACCATGAAGCTAACCTTAAGCTTCAGTACTTCTCATTTGCATGGAGCCCTTCTAAGAAATGAACCTAATTTTGTCTATTCCTTTTAAGAGGGCCTCCAAAAAGCATAATCTCCATGCCTCCATAAAACCTGCCTGTGCCTTCAGGATGTTACTGGTCATATCACTTCATTAAGGATACAGTTGTGTGTTCAGGAACTCAGGTCTGGCCAGTAGCTCTGGCTCTCAGGAGCCACCACAGCTGTGTTGCAAGTGGAGCAGTTGCTGCTGAGACAACTGCTGTTTTTTTCTTAACCACTGAAGTGGGTAAATAAGGGCTCATAGGAAAATATAAACGGAAATGAGAGACCTGGCTTAGCAGATAACTATAGAAGGAAGTATCCACAGTCCAAGTAAAGTCTAAACTATATATATATATATATATATATATATATATATATATATATATATTATAATCTCTATTTGACTTGTAATTAATGAAGGTCTTTAATTAATCTTGGATAGAAATGATACAGATAAACTGGAAATGTGGATAGACAAGTGTGAAATAAAACTGGATAGTCACATAGTTTTCAAGATTATTGTTATTAAAGATAGCATAAGAAACATTTCTTAAAAAATAAAGGTGAATTTGGAGAGGGAACAGAAAATATCTTTCTTTTGTACCTTTTTCCCTTTCAACCATGGGCAAAAGGAGTATCCCCAAAGGATTTTGGGGCCTATATAAGAGAATTGCTGGAGAAAAGGCCCATTTAACATGCCCTCAGGAATCAAACAGGGTTGACACCCCAAATTCACCATTTGAAAAAAACAGCTTTATTAGTAGGAAAATTGATTAAGATAAATTTTTTACTCAGAGAGATTTAGAACTAAAAGGACCCTCACACTCAGTCTTCAAAGGCATGTTAGGCATCCTGGAAAAAATAAAACACATCTA